GGCTCGGGTCAGAAGGCGTCGGTGCTTGAGGCGGCCGGCGGGGTCGACGGAGGAAGTCTGGCCGGCAGTGTTGGAGCAGGAGGCTTGGATGCCGGCGTGGGATGAGGAGCAGAGGTGGTTTGCTTGAAGTCGGAGATGGAGGAACTGCCGACGTTCGAAGTCGAGGCGTGCAAGAGGGCTTGACGGGGACTTTGACGGGAGCAGAGATAAGTTTCCGAAATTTTTCTTTCTACTTTGCTTGCGGTTCTGAGAGCGTGAGCGTGAATGAGGGAGAGTTTCCTATTTTGAGTCGTGAGGAACAACGGTTCTGCCGAGAGGAGTGTGATCGTGGGCAGTTATGTGCGGTTGGGTTCGATTATGGGCGGTTGTGGGATCGATCGTGGCTGAGGTGGACTTGGTTGGGTTCACTGTTTGCAGGTCAACAAATTGCATGGTAGAAGCACCCTCGATCGCTCGACTCAAAGAGGTTGCCATTAGGTATCGCGAGTGAGCTAGGAGGTTCCCAAGGAGCTAAAGAGTTGATAGGAGGCCATACCTATTTTAGATTCGGCACCATCCTAGATCGCTGAGGACGCACCTGTAGATTAGGCTTATTAGAGTTACAGGGCCACACACTCCACAATTATAGGAAGAGTCACTAGTCACTCACTTGTAGTCTCCAAAAATTCACGCCCGGCCTCTTCGCAACCCCTTTCTTTTTTGGGTTATCAAGGAGAGTTTTAATGTTCAAGTTCTAGGTTAATTTTTCAGAAGGCAAATTGGGTTTTAGATAAGACACTACCTAGAGATTTTGCCCTCATTGTGTTATAACTTTATTATTTGAGTTCTAATTTCCTATAGGTGAAGCCCCTATAGTTAATTACCCCTCCCAATAATGGGAGAGACCTTTCGATTAAGGCTAGTCGTTGAATAGATGCATAATATCCAACGTATAGTAGCAACAAATTTAAATATTGAAGATTAAAATTTTGTCACCGCATACTTAAAGCAGATGGTGGGAGAATAATGATGAGCCTGATCAAGATCCCATGGTTTTATCATCCCGGGCCATCATGGTTTTTGAGTTGACCACTTCAGTTGTGATCATTTCATTGATTAAACCTTATTGTATGGATAATAATTTTTGTTGGAATGCCAAAATGGTATATTATATTCTTCTATAAGAACTGTTTGGCATTTGTTTCAGTGATCTTTGCTATAGGTTTGGCCTCACCCATTAGGTGAAAAAGTCCATAACCAAGATGATGAACTTTCATTGCCTGGTGGCTATAGGGAAGGGTCCTATTATGTCAATCCCCATTGGGCAA